ATTTAAGTACCTGCCAACAACTGAAAGATGGAAAGCCAAAGAGCATTTTGTACCAGCAAGCAGAATGCAGCAACTTTTCAGGATAAATTCTATCTTCTGTGAGCAGTTTTGTCTAGTAAGAACCAATGAATCTATTAATCTGTTCTGCAAGACAATGGATAGCAATGACCTGTCAGCTTTATGAGATCCATCAACATCTTTCTGTATCTTTCTGAAGAAGGTCTATATGCCCTCTGCAGACTCTACATGACAGAGTAGCACTATTAACACAGTCATTGCTGCTGCTACAGAGCTTCCTTTCTCTGGGTTTCTAACATAGTTGTTTCGTTAAGTCACATCACACTGGGTTAAAATTTAGCAGACAAATTCTTTTCCTCTCTGAGGGATTTTGAATTTGGGTTGGGTTTTCTTTCCCTTTTTTTTTTCCTTTTTTTGTTGGTTTTCTTTAATTTTTTTTGAAGTTATATTTGAAATGAAACCAGAAAAAAAATCTGAATTTGAATTTATATAGCTACAAAAATGAACAATATAGAGATATTTGTATTCCTAGCTTACAAGGGAAAAGCATATAAACCAACAGACAACAGTGGCAGAGCTATTGATATCTTGACACTGATACATTCCTTGTGTTGCATCTATATTGATTTAAAGAATGAGAAATGAGAGGTATAAATTTATGGGGACATTTTGGATGGAATTTTGCATTCATTTATTAAGTGAAATTTTATAGAGTACTAAACCATTGACCCTATCACTTGGTCTTACAGATTTATGGCTGAATCTCAGGCCTACTGAAGTCAATAAGGGCCTCTTCAACAATAGACCTCAAATCAGGACCTTGTTGCCTGACTCTGCATTCCCATTATACAATTTTATAGAAATATGACATCAGTGTAAAGCTATGAAGAAAGCAAATATATTCCCGGCTTTCAAGGGGAGAAGAAAGCACATTTAGGAATTTAAAGTGTACATAGCTTTGTGTATTTATGTTCCAGACTTTGCTTTGTTTCTAGCAAGATGAGTTTAGAATGCAGATAATGAAGAGAGGGCTAAAGGGTTATAGGAGGAGTAATAAAGAAGCTGGCTAATTACTCACAAGATTTAACATGGGAAAAATGCAAGCTAATATACCTCAGAGAAAAAAAAAATTATCTGCAGCACAAATATTTAGCTAGAAAGGAAAACTTGGATGATTTTAGGGTTGAAAAAGGTCTGAGTGACTAGAAGAACCAAAGAAGCTCATCTTAAACAGCAAGTTCTCCCACAATAAGATATGTATTTAAAGTTGTTCAATCTTCTTTGAGCACTCATGATCACACAGATACAGAGATGCTATATAATGTATAAATATCCCACACATATTGGAGTTAAGAAATCTCTAGGTAAAGTGAATCTATGCTTTTTTCTTCACATTATTAGTGGATATATTAGTGAATGTAGCGCATGCTATTTTTAAATCACAAGACCATCCAAACCGTAGCAATATAACTTTCAAGTACAGACTTAACCTGTATAAACAAGTCAAGTAGACAAATCTAGAGTATATGTCACTAAAAAGTCAAATGCAACTGTTTCTTTTGTGAATTTTTTAAACTCTCAAAATATACAAGCACTGCATTGTAAAAATTTTGTCAATAAGTTGCTAGCATTTAAGAGACAAGTAACAAGATACCAGCAAGGTGGATGGATTGACTTGTGAAGAAAGAACTGTGGTCATGGTATTTCATTCCCTAGCTAAAAGGGTTTGCAAGTTGGTGTACTGGTGTAGTTTAAGGACGTAGGTTGAGTGGGAATTAAAACAGGAATTTCTTGTTGTTACTTCTCCAGGAAGAAGGTAAAAACACATGCAGTATTATAACCACAAAGTAAGTATCTTTTGTATACTGAGATACAGAAGTAAAGTGTAGAAAAGATGTCTTGATACTCTGCCAATGTTTGAAGAACACTGGTAGAAAAAAAGCATAGAAGATTTATTTTAGGTAGTAGACTCCATATTGTGCATGTTCACAAGATAATTCAGGCTAATGTTTCATCTCAGTATTAGGCAATAATCCTGACAATGACCCTCCACAAGAAATTATAAAAACTCCACAACTTGCCTTTAAAACTAAGCCTAAAGTGAGACTTGAACACAATTGTGTATTGTAAGGATAAGGAAAACATGACAAACACCACTTTTCCCATCACATATCTCAGTCAAGAATATAGGAGCACCGAGTAACTAATGTTTCCTACCTTCGTGTCAGATTTGTTCAATCTGTACTGACAAAGAGGCTTTACAAATGGCAGTGGTTACTAGCCACAGGAAAGGAATTTTAGTATGGGTTTGACACACATATTTGCCTATACTGAGACACCAAATTATGTCAAGTCTGACAATTTCTGTCAGACTTGTAATATTATCAGACTGTAAATTTCCAGGATTTCTGGGTCCTCTGAGGGCTTGAAGTAAGTCAAGTCATGTTGGCAACAGGAGCATACTGAGGAGGCTGAGAGCTCCCAAGTGCTCCATTCCAGCTGGTTTCTCTGCAGACTCTGCAGGCACTTGGGGTAACTGGGTTCAACAGAATGTTCCAGATAGGAGTGGAAAATTAATGAGTTCAGGCCAAAGTGTATCTGCTGCCCTGGTGTGGCGTGTCCTTCACTCTCCTTATCCTGCCCTTTGTTGTTATCCTTTGTTGCATATTTTCTTAAATTAAATGTGCAACTGAAATCATAACTTTGTGTCCTGTTGACCTCTGGCAAAGACTTATTTGCACAGCACTCAGTATAATAGGAGTTCACCTGATTGGGTCCCACAGGGTTTACTTTCATACAAATAATTATTGGTACCATTAGGATAAATGAACTTTTAGGCATCTAAAAAAATTATTTCCAAAGAAAGAAAAAAAGTAGAAAACAAGTACTATGATATTAAGCTTATTTGACAAGGACATGCAAGGTAAAAAAAATTAAAATTTCTCTGAGGGTGGGGAAAAGAAAAAATTAAGAGTACAATACAAAAAATCACTTCCAAAGAGGGAGAGGTATGAGAGGAGTTTAAAATTTAGTGGTCACAGAAGAAGGAACACCACAATGTGTCACATTAATAAGCATTGTAAGTAGGAATGTTGATTAACTCAGGAATGACTTATTATAATATAAATGACAGGCCCTAATGGAACTGAAGTGACAAGGTATGAAATGTGTATTAGAGAAAGCAAAATGAAAGCTAAATACCTGTGGGACAAGTAAACCTTTAGAAAAATTTGTACAGGTTTGTTAAAGACTGGATTTGGAAGTTTGTAACTTAGAAGGAACAAGGAAATGAAACAGAATCTGGGCACAAAGAAAGCTGGTTTGTATGTTGCAACAGTTTAGGAAAAAAAAGTACAAAAAAGATGCTATTAAAACAAAAGGGAAACTAACATGGAAGAATTAATATATAAACTGAAGGAAGAGAGAATAAAATTTTTTTTTTTTCTGCAAATAACCTCACATCTAGGTCAAATGGCAACACACTGGTAATAATTGCCCTACCATAAGCCTAAATCTCACCAGCATGGTGTCAAAGGACTCATCCTCAAGACTAAGAAAATGCACACCTCTTGCTACCACCAACAAAAAATAAAATAGGCAATATTATCCAAATGTACTTAAGTACATACAATTTCACAGATGTTTACAAAAAGGTTACTACAAATACTGTCTGTGACATAGAAGTCTTCATATACCAAAATAATCATGGCTGCAAAATATGTTCTAGTAAGAAATTACTGCCTGTGCTAAGGAAATAAAAGGAGTTTATGTGGAAACATATAACTTGTCTGTTTCTGTAAAATTACTGGTTTCAATTAAATTACAAAATACACAGAAGTTTTGTATTCCTTAACATTTTAATTTCTGCATATATAAATTGACCGGATTACAACTGCAATGATAGCTTCAGAAAAGATATCAAGAAACCTTACCAAAACCAGTGCATTTGCATGCTTACCACAAAACAAGTCAAGGCAGAGGATATATACTGCATTACAGGATATGCTATGCCTCATGAAATGAGCACAAATGAAGTGGGACAGGGAGAAGAAAATGATGAAATGGTGGAACTGAGGAGATGTATTCAGACAGAAGAGTGACTGCAAATGAAGCTGCAAACCTAGGGCTCAGAAGTGTGAAATGAATGTGTAGGTTAAATTATTTTGTTGGCAGTACCCTGAAAACTAAGAGCAGACATTTTGAATCTGGCATATTCAAGACTTTTGTTATAAAAGCTGGATATCATTGAGGTGGACTATAAAGAAATGCATAGAGGGAAATAAAGAAGAAAATATGCTATTAATAGCAGCTAGGAAGGATTAATAACATAACAGAACCAATGAGAAAGTAATTTTATATTAGATATAGTATTATTACTTTTTTAGCCTTATGCTTTTGGACTATGTATGCCAGGTATTTGAAATGCTTGTTTTACACACCACATTATGTGAGCAGATTACAGAATGCCTGGATAGACATTTGTGACATATGGCTCACCCCTTCTAGTCAGTGAAAATCTGAAGACATTTGTACTGATTCAATTTTGCAAGTATTTTTAGTAAAATTAGAGACTCTGTTAGAACATTCTGGTATAAATAAAATGCTGCCATCACTAACCTGGCAGTCAAGTGAAATTTTTGAGAGCAAGCATACCATTTATACAGTCAATGTAAACCACTCTGAGTGTGGTACTAAAACATGACATCCAAAAGGTGATCAATTTAGTATATTATAAAAGTGTGTTACCTCTACAGCAGAACTTGTCCCAGCTAAGTAATTGGTTTTTTAAGAAGCATGGTTAGGACAAAAGGGCAAAAAAATTTAAGAACAATGGAGATGATTCAGAAATCAGACAGAGAGGATGTCAGAGAGGAGATTGCAGCTCAAAAGAGAGAACATGAAAATCCTGAGCAATGACTAATGAGGGCAAACATAAAGGCAGCAAAAATAAATTTAAAACCAATTTTTGAAATTGTCGGTACCTGGCAATTCAGAGAAGTCTTTCAGCTGACAATAGTCTTCCCTAAAGCCTGGAAGAACTTCATTCAATGCCAAGGGTGTTGAGGGTAAAAAGGACTGAAAAATCTAAAATTAGAGATAGCAAAAGTAGGATTAAAGAGATTAATATGAGTGGAATTGTACAAGCTAGATGAAAAATTATAGGAAAAAAATTATCCAAAGTCAGAAGAATTTTTAAATATTCCACACTGCAAGTGCATAGAAGTTGTAGACACTGAGCCTGTGCTTGAGGGAACCAGAATTCACACCAAAAACCTCAACAAAGTATTCAAGTATTATGTTTGGAGGAAGAATTAATTTCAAAGACACACAGAAGTTCTCAAAGGATTTCTGTTGTTGCTATTAGCAAATCTATGTGATCTAAACAGAAGGAAAAAAATACCATGTCTTGTTTTTTATTGGTGTCCCAGGGCAGGAGGAACTACTAATTAGTCCAGAAAACTGATGTGATACTGGAAATTTGAAGATGAATGGTAAAAGGTTAATAGAAGTTTAATAAAGGCAAGTAAACACACAGACCACTCATGAATGGTATCTTAAGTGTGGAACTACTCTGTATCTGATAATGATTCATATATCCTATAGACAAAGTGGGACACTTTGCTAAATAAGTATGCCTCTGGTTATATAAGAAAAAAGAAGTTTTAAGGTTTAATCAATTAGAAAGAGTATTTTCTTGACAACCAGAGGTATCTTTCACTGTGAGTTTAATGGTAAGTCAGGACTGAAAACTGAGAACAAAATCTAAGCCAGTTTTCCAAAGATTCAGATAGCAAACTTCAATTAACATTAACAAGATATATTTTGTTAGACCAAAATGAAGTTTTAAGAGTTGAATCTTAAATCCTGACACAGACTTCTGCAATGGGACAAATTCGGATTGTAAGGAATAATCAGTCACATACATATATCCCATTCTCCCTAAGCAAGTTACCTTCATAAACTCAGAATATGTCCATATAGAACATAATTGTTTGAAAAATGCCTAACCCTCTTCATTTTCCCTAGGTCGATATTTTACTCAGAATCCACATCCTTACAGCTGAACTGATTTCCTTGCTGAAGCCAATGGGTAATTTTCTATTTATTTGAACAGAAGAGAGACATTTATGTAGTCCGTGATATGTGAAGGGAGACAAGATATATCTCCCCCATCAACATCTTTCTTCACTCACTTATACCTTACCCATTTGCCCTGAAGAATTCCGCTCTCAAAAGTCCCTCATGCATCACTTTTTGTACATTCAACATTCTTTCCTTCCTTAGAATTGTCTCTATCTGCTTGTGTCCCCTCTGACCCCCAAGCCTTTTAACTCATCCTTCCTCCTGAAAGGGAGACAATCTTTTCTTCCCATTCAAATATTTTTCTTGGTCCTAAAAAGTCATCATGAATCCCAGTTTCACTTATATTATACTCCCTTCCTGCTGTTCAGCACTTCTGGCTTTCATTTTAATCATTCTGAAGCCTCTGTGTGCCATGTCCCTAAAGTCCTGTGGAGCTGACTCTCATCTCTTCCTGAGCCCTTCCACTGGATCACCACCCACCCACTTCCATAACTTTGTCTGCCAGGACTCTGGAGCTCTTCTCCTCTCCTCTCCTCTGCAAAGTCTTTCTCTGTCTTCATGCTTCCTGGTCCCCCTGCTTCTCCCTCAGTGGGACTTCCTTGCCTGTAACCTCCTGCCTGGAGTTGTCCTCCACATCAGATCTGCCTCATTGACATCTGACAAGGTGCAGCAGCTGCCCCTCTGCTTTCTACAATTTCCTCACTGCCAGCAGGTACTTCACCCGTGCAGTTTATTGCTGCCTCTCCTACTCACTGGGGCTCCCAGGAGCTGATGTGTCACAGAGAACTAAGAGCTGTTTCTGCCTGCTGGCAACCTTCTGCTGCTCAGCAACTCCATACCCTACCTCCTAGGCCAGGCTGCTCCCATTATACACTGTGGTGGGAAAACTATTTATCCTGGGGTGAGAATTAAGGATTTCACAGTAAAATATCAAACTTAAGAGGGTAAAAGAGTGACCCAGATATGCAGATAGTAAAAAATATATGTTCTACTAAACTATTCTTTCTCTGATACTGTATGTTTTGAAGGAACAGAAAAGTTGTTGATTATAATTCCTCAGTGTCTTTAGAATATTTGAAGGTCCACATATCTTTGATTACAAGGCAGAACAATTTTTCTAATTTGTAGTAGCATAGACCAAAAGATTTGTTTCTGCTCTGTGCAGTTTCAAAAGTGACCCCAATTCATTGACTAATCAGTTAAATTAAAAGGTTGACTTATCTGAGTAACTTCACTGTAATATAAAATGTCTTTTTGAAAGACAGTCCACTGAACCCAGCCACAGTGGGAGGCCTCCAGCCCTGTTACAGCAATTATTTCTGTGTATATCTCTTCCCAACTGGAGTACTTATGAAACTTAAATTCCCTCTCAAAACAGTTCAGATGGTTCACCTCTTTTAGTAAGCTGCTCCCTGTTTTACCAGCTGCTTAGGCATGATGGCATGCTTGCTATGGCAGAAACTTGACACTTGCCAGACATATTTCTGTCTTCTGTTTTGCACAGACTTTGCAAATCTTGGCCTTTGTCAAGGATTTGTTTTATTAAATGAACTGTTCATATCTTTATTCTCTCATAGTTTCTCCAGTCACAGATTTTATCCTGCTTAATGTGACAATACACAGGACTTTGTCCTCTAAAATCATGTAATACTTCAGCAGCCATGTTGTAAGACTTACACTTTTTTCTGAGTTTTCTTCTGGTTCCTTCTTTTACTGAAACTTTGGGGAATTTTACAGGAAGTCTTGTAACTAGTTTTCAGCATTTCCTTGGCAACTCTGTCTTTCCCAGGTTTAACTAGAAGATAAAATGTCTAGTTCTGTGCATCAAATTTCTATTTCAATGTCAATAATTTCTTAAGTGAGGTTCCATTTAACATTTCTAAAAGTACTCTGTCCATCTATGCTTTGACTCTTTTTCCATTTTAAAAATTTTGAATGTTAGTGCTTAAAAAAATGAATAGCAAAATATGGAATGAATGTTTCTTGATTAAATATTCAAAATCTAAACAGGGAACTTACCCTTTTTCTTATTTGTCATATTCTGAAGTTATATTTGCATTTTCTTTCATCACACTTAAATCCTCTGCAAGTTGTTGAAACATTTGTGAAAACTACATGTTGTTCACCTAAAATGATTAATGTTCCTGGAACAATCAAGAAACATCTCCCTATTACTATATCTGTAATCACTGTAATTTACTGTGTTGGACATCTAGACATACATGTATAAACGTGGTTCAGATCATGGTTGCTATCTGTATGACACTAAAATTAGACTGAATTTTGAGAAAATTAACTTTGCTTGCCTGTGTACATGAGGAAAGGACAATTTTCAGTGCTGTCAGTGCTATCAGCATAAAACTTATTATGGGTAATAACATTATTGTAAAATAGATCTTTAAAAATAAAGATGATGCAATATTTGTGTAAACCACAGAATAAAACATGCTTTAAATGAAATAGGCTAATTTTACTGATGGTGTCAAAGAAAAGTAAGACTTTCTTTCTTGATGAAAAATCTAAACAGAGCCTAGGCAATGGTCAGCAAGTACATCCTGAAATTTAGTACGTCATACAAAAATCTGTGCTACTTTTTATAGGAATTTCAATGCATCAGCTAGGTCCCTTGACACTGTATATGTATAAATTATAACTATTAAGTAGCTTTTAATAAAAAGCAGCCAGTGATCTATGTCAGTATTTTAAAATCTAGAAATACAGATGTAAACCTCAGACTGTTTCTAAGTCATGCTATCAAGTCTTTTTCTCATCTGCATATGTCTCCAAAGGACTGCTCCAAGCTTGATTCATACTTCTTTTCCTGTTTCTTGGCCTAGAACAGATCCTTAATGTTACTTAAACTCACATTTGTATTTACTAAATCTAGTCAGAGTGATAAACACGATCTGAAGGACTGTAACCATACACACACATTTGCACACATGCTAATGATTATGACTTCTAATACTTGGAATGTAAAAGCTCCTGGCAGTTGAATAATGCTAGCTCAGGTTAGAATGGACATTCAACAGGAAGTGCAAAATCTGGTCTATACTAATTTCTTTACCTGTAAAATGACAATATACTCTGTTGGCCACATATCAGAGTAAAATACAATTTGTTCTTTACTGGAGACAAAACCCATGGAAGAAAATCATCCTAGGTACACAGGTAGTTCAAAATGAAAAGCCAAATATCTCTCTGGTATAGTACAATTAAAGCGTATTTGCCTTTACAAAAACAATATATACTGTGTTCTAGTAGAAAAATGAATGTCAGCTAACAATCTAAAAGCAATAAACAATAAACTTAAATTATAGTAAAAGTCAATTAGTATACCAATTAGTCTATATTGCAAGGAACTTACATGAAAAACCTTATTTTTCACTGTCATACAAGGTGTCGAGGAATGAACTCTGTCATTTAGAATTCACTAATAATTATAAAGGGGAGTTTGATGGATTATGATGTGACTCCATATAGTAGTAATGCAAAATAACTGCTCACCAAATGGTAAAAGCTTTTATACTCCAGCAGCTTTTAAAAGGGTACACATGGTAATAGAAACACACTTTGCAAAAAGACAAATAAATCTGTGGATGCATATGCTTTGTGTCAGTTTCATGTGGTTCCTAAACAAGATTTTTACTGAAAATGTTCTCAGTGCAAAAGATAATAACATGGAGAAAAACACATTCATCAAGTACAACACACAAAACCAAAGACCAATACTTTATTCTTTTGAGAATGGCACAAAAAAGTTAATAATCTGTTCAAAGCCACAGAGCTCACTATCCAAGAGTGTAAAAGGTATTGTAAAAGCAAAGACTACACTAAGCAAATATCACAGGCATGAAGAGACCATACAATTGACTTCACAGCAGAAGATAATCAGCTTTTTGGCTTGAGTTTAATTCAAAACAGAAGCATCTGACTTCTAAAAGAACTGGACATCCAATGTTCAGCCTATATGTTTGTTTCCATTTGTTTCT